CCTAAGTTCATTTTATTTGAGTGTTGTTATCTTTTTAATTAAAATTTAATTTGCATTTTTACACATGCCTACTTCCACTTTTAATGTGTATAGATTATTATCTATTTTCAAGGCTAACTCTTCTAGTTCTCTAATACTACCTCTAAGTTTAAAAGCCCTTTTTTCATGGATTCATGCTTTTCTTATAGTTGAATATGCTTTTATATAATGAATCATGCCTTTCGTTTATTGCACTATGCTCTTCACTTATTGATTAATGCTGCTTATCTAATGTAATATGATAATTTCTCATATTTGAAAAATTATTTGTAAAATGTTAATGCTCTTGATGCAATGTCGAATGCTATCCTTTAAGGTGTGAATGTTACATTTTTTAAATTTCTGTAAGCATCATGTAATTATTCTGAAAGAGAGAGTAATTAACCATAGGATATGTCACATACCTGATCATGATCAAATTCCCTAATGCTATCTTTTTTAATTAAGCACAAGTTGGTTACCTTCTTTTTAGGTTCGAATTTTAATGATCCAAAATTACTGTTGACCCAAAACGCTTTTTGAAAAATTTTTGTTTGCCCATTTAGCCTTAGTTTTCTCCTCACCCAACACTGGGTTGTTCTTCAAGCTTAGGCATTCATAATGTATGAGTTCTAGCATTTTGCATTCATAAAAATATTGTTAGTCATAAACTTATTTAACATTGAGTTCATACCTCACTATTTGTTATTATGGTGCTTATACTTATGTTTTAGGATTTTTCTGAATTATATTGTAATTCAAGCTATATCTTAATTTCCATCAGAGCCTTATTCAGTACTTTTAGTAATTTTGGATTTCAAAGAAATTATATTTTCTTTCTCCCTTACCTAAAAATTTACATTTTATTTGACTCACATTCAGCTGATAGACAATTAATGAACCTAGAAGATCATAAATAAAGTAAGCACTTAAATCTTTTGACTCAAATGTATTAGTTATTTTTACATCACAAGATTCAGGCATGAAATCTAAAATCTTATTTACATTTATCCATTTGAAATTTCTTTTCCTGTTGCACATAGAGAAGTAATAATTTTTATAAAATAAGTGTATATAACAGAAATTGATTCACTAGGATGCATTCAAGAAAATTGTATTCGTATAATTATAAATTCATGTGTGATTATTTTACTTCCTTGATTCCTTCATAGGTTATACCAAGTATATCCCATATCTCCATAATAGTTATAAGAGTTCAAAATAATTTCATGCCTAAAAAAAAATAGTTTAAACATTTTTCCTTTTGTTGCGCTAAATAAAAATCTTTTGTAAAACATTTCATGAATGGAATATCTATTTTAACTCCATTCACAATATGAGAAGGTAAAGCATAACAAACTAAATATTATTTTAAAAAATATAGACACAAACATATTTTCTAAAAATTTAAAAGAATGTTATCAAACAGAAGTGGTTGGGATATAGAATACGCTTCTACAGTGTTACGATTACCAAAATAAGCAATGTAGATCCACTAAGGTTATGGAAACTTAAACAAAGTTAGAACCCACTCTAATTCCAATTAAAAGTTGTTATTTCAGACTAAGAGTGGGTGAATATGATATTTCAAAATTATTTTATAATTTTAATATGTTTAGTCTAATAAAAACATATAATATATAAGCATTTAAAAGATTAAACGATTCCAAAAAAAAAAAAAACTAAAAGCAAACATTTTTTTAAAGTTAGAAAATAAATAATTTGTATTCTTTCTTTCTAAAATTTCAAATCAAAGTTCAACTGAAGATCAATTATCAAAAATCTCTTTTACAAATATAATCAAAATAAAATCTAAGTGAAGAAAAAAAAATTCGTGAAAAGTAAATTATCAAAATGTAAGAATGTGCAAACCATATTTATAGTAGTTTGTGCCAATCGACCTACATACACTCCCCAAAGATTCTCCTATTACAGTGTTGCACTAAATGTGACTCTCCTTCAGCACACAAATAGGAAAAGAAGCTCTTCTCACTTACCACATGCAGGGAATGACTTTTATAAACTATTAAGACCTTGAAGAATTTCCCTCCTCTTGCCCTTTGACTCGACAGAGATGTCATCCCTCTTTTTAATTCCTTGTCTCGTGAAGATGTCATCCGTCTATTCACCTCCTTAGCTAGACAGATATTATGATCGCTCCTCTCATCCCCTTGGCCTAGTAGAGATGTCGTCCCTCCTTTTAGCTACTCGCTCTAGCAAAGATGTTGCTCCCTCCTTTCACATTAAAGCCCAAAGGATTTGTTGTCCCTCTTTTCAGCTCCTTTCTCCAGTGGAGTTGTTGCTACCTCCATTCACCTCCCAGTCTGACGGAGATAGTGAAACACAAGCCTACTCAGCTAGCAAGTATTTCATCTCGAGGCACTCTTCCTCCCTCAACCCCTCCTCCTCTGTCTCCTTAGTGAGTGGCCTATCCTAAGCACTTTCTCAATAAAGAAAATGACTTTGACTATCCAAAGACTCTTGCTATAGGAATTAACTAGGGAAAGAAAACTTAAAAAAATATATTATTATTTTCATTTTGTGCTTTTTGATCATAAAAGATGCATCGATCATATAATATGAAGCATAGATCATACATCATAATTATTTTAATAGAATCACATATTATTAAAGATGAACCAAGGATCGTCCAATGAGCTCTCGAGTGGATCATATGGTATGATTTATGATCGTACAAATTCAATTCAATAACCCTCATAATTAAATTTCGCAATTTTAAATAAGTTTTGTACGTCACAATTAGTTCAAATTTAAAATCTGTCTTATTTATGTAACCAACATTTGACGACCGGGTTTCTCAAAATAGTTGATCAACCTATATGATATCTCGGTCAGACATTACAATTAGTTATAATCTAATTTTAATTAATCTTATTTAATTAAATATTTCAATTAGTTTCTTTTTAAACATATATTATAGTTTGTTATGTATCATACTGTATGATTAATATAAAAAGTAAATCATTCAATTTAAATCTCACTTATATGTGTGTGCACAGTCGTTGAGCAAACATACTCCTAATATTGAAAATGACTACAAAAACTTATATATAGATACTCTTTCAAACATGAATTGACTTATACACTTATGCAAAGTGTCTTTAATCTTGATTCTTTTCTTTGCTTATTATATGTTGTACGTGAAAAGTTAGTAATACACAAAAAAAATATATGCAATATGTAAAACAAGAATGAGTAAATTGTATATCTAATAGTATTTGTAATTATCAAAATGCAATTCCGGCTCCCGAAATGCAACATGATATGTATAAAGTAGTCAATACTTTGCTTATACATACTTTATGCCACCACAAAAAAAGTTTATCTTTTGCCCTACATGACCTTTTCTTTAAAAGATATATCATGCCCAAATTCTTTCATCCCAAGTGATCCTTTATGTCATTATACATCATATTTAAGTTTGTCATTACAGTAGTTTATTATTATATATAAAGTTGTAGCAATAATTACATTTTAGATGTACTTAAATGATTTTTCTGATAATACCATTTGTAGTTAACTGAAGGTTATTTTATGGTTCTGACATTATTTATTTGTTACATTAAATAATAATCACATCACTTTAAAGTGTTGTTATATTAATATTAGTTGAGGCTCATAAACATATTGTTTTATCTTATTGCAAAGTTCACAAATGTGAAATAAATATATTTAATACCTCAATAATTGATGTGTTGAAATAGGTCATTCATCTAAGCACACTTATATGCCTTTATAGAATTCTTTTTATATAGAGAATGTGGTGTATGTCTTGCAAACAATGGCTGTGAGCCAAGGTTGAGGAGTAGGTCACATGTAGTTTAAAAAATGGATATGATGCAGGTGTTGCAGGTGACTTTGAGGTATAAATGGAAGTTATAGAAAAAACATTGATGCAAAAATGGTTAATCTAAGATATTACGAGAGCAATTGAATGACCTTCCGAGAAATTAGTCACCTCTAATGAATTTAATGTGCTACTTCTTATTTTCATGAAGAATATCTTAACTTTAATGCTGCGTATTTCTTATAGTTGCTAATTAACAACACTATCTCATTTTAAAAACTATAATTAAAAAATATAGTTGTTAGAAAACACTATCCCCTTTTCAAATACTATAATTTAAAAATAATTCTCATTGGCTGAGCCTCTAAACCCACAATGACAAGTACTGATCGGGGCATGAAATGGTGGTCATGATATCGTTGGCCCTTATGAAGTTACGTAGAATGATTTGCTACCGTAAATGCATATTGAAGCATCAATAATCGTGAATAATGCCATACCATTTATCCAATTTGCTTGGACGAAAAACATAGTAGCCAAGTCCCGTCATTTTAATATTAACAGCTTTCCCTTCTAACGGGGATTAATATACAGTGCCATGCATAGCTAACTGCTAGTCAAATAAGTTTAAGCCGATCGAGTTGAAGAAGACAAATAACCAACACATGCTGACAATAGGAAAGTGGCAGGGGCGACAATGACATTGTCCTTCACTGCCTTCATAGCTTTCCTTCTCAGGGTGGCTAATTTTATTTATGTTGATTTTGGCCAGATCAAGTACAGTTTGGTTCTACATAGAAAAACGGTGTTATGATGCATCTAATTTGGATAATTTAACTAAGGTCTGTAATTTTGCAGAATTCGTGCTTAATCGGCTAGAATTATTTATTATGCGACACCTGTATGGCCCCAAAAAGCATGAATATCGTAATTTGACTAATTAACCGTCTGATGATGCGTGACAACGTAAGCAAAATTCCGATCAAAATAAAAGACTACTGGATGAGGTCAACAAGCGATTTTTTCTTTCTTCGCTGGATCCATTTTAACGATCGAGACGCGTAACACGCCAGCGTATGGTTCTCGCGTGGCGGGCGATCTATTACAGCCACATATATATACGTCATCGCAATCGTCAGTTGGCATTATCCCCGTTCTCTACGCTTATTTCTTCCCATTCCAAACCCTTTACTTTCTACGACAGCTATCCCCTCTCTGTTTTCCTTACTCTCCAGCCATGCAACGAGCTTTTCCTTTTAACCAAACAAAAACCTGGGACCCAATGCCGCCGGAGGAGATAACAAAGGCAGTAATGGAGAATCCGGTTGTGGTCGTGGGGAGACGAGGATGCTGCTTGGTACATGTAGTGAGGCGGCTGTTGCAGGGACAAGGCGTGAATCCGACAGTGTGCGAAGTCGGCGATGAGGATAATGAGGTGGCGGTGGGTGACTGCAGCGGGGAAGGTAAAGAGAAGCAGAAGCAGAAGTTGCCGGCGGTGTTTATTGGGGGCAGGCTGGTGGGAGGTCTGGACCAGCTTATGGCGGTCCATATCTCGGGCGAGCTCGTCCCTATCTTAAGAAACGCTGGGGCCTTATGGCTTTGATTGGTTAACTTTGATTTTTTTTTTTTTTATGTAATTACTTTGGATTTTAATGTTGTATTTATGAGTTATGTTTGTAAAGTGTTTTATTTATTTTTACTTTGTGTATTTGTAGTATTTTGATGATATACTTTATCATAGCTAGAATTGGAAATACTCTTTTGGTATGAATTAGACTACGTTTATATATTGAAAATTTTATTTTTATAAAAGTTTAATCAATTTTTTTTTTCTTTATGCCTATGTGCAAGCTTCATATGTGCCATTAGTTTTGTAAGAGGGGCGATCATATAAAACTTCCTTGAGATAGTAATATCATAAGTATGATGGTCTTCTATGAACAAATTGTTTTCTCCATCTTGGTAAACAAAATGAATTGATTTTGATGTACGCGTGATGATATTGAATAATTAATTGTGCTAAGGAAGATAGTGGCACCGTCATTTCTTTGGAATTACGCATCATTATTCTGAATTGAAACTCTAGCATGGAGTAAAACATTTATAAAGAGTCGTGATATTTCTGCGAAACAAAAAAATGCAAATAAACCAAGCGTATGGAGCTATGGAAATATAGGAACCGTGTGAAATTACAATAATCCATTAGAAAGACATACGAGCAAATGAGAGATGAGTGATTAATATGGCTGAATAATACATGCTTAGAGGGAAAATCCCATTTTTTAGAGAGAGAAAGTCTCCTTTTTTTGAAATTTTGTAATTCCGCTGTTTTCCCGGGTTGCTGTTTATGGACGGAGGTGGCTTCCGACAATCCACGGCCAATATTCCGTCAAAGCCTATTGATCGCTATGTGGCTAAATCCACTGTGGTATTGAATGAAGATCGCCGTGGAGGGAGATTGACAACAACATCGTTTCATGGAAATCATAAAGGACTTTTTAATGAAGATCCTTTAGTTATAAAGGAAGTTTCAGATTCGAAGGTTAAAAGGGTTTTGTCAATGATTGGGAAAGATAAAGATGTCCTGGTCGAAGAAAATTTTTAGTGTCCTCTCTTAGCTGAGGTCTTTAAAAAAATCAATGAGGTACACTGGAAGCAAATGATGCAGAAGCTTCTACATCAAAGTTGAAACTTTTTGTTAAAAGATTTGGGTTATTTAAAAAATTCAAATGAACTTAATTTCTAGATGGATTCGTGTAATAAGGTGGATGGATTAATTTCAAATGATATTGTTCTTATTATTCCTGGAGAAGACACCATGGGTGATTGTGGAAATGCTGTTGAAAATAATAAATATTTGAGGGATTGTGATATGGAGAAGAATGGATCTTTTGGCACCAAGGCTAATAATATTGTTACTAGTGTTCTTGTTCAAATGATAATATTGAGAGTGGTCATCCGTGGGTCAAGCGTTAACATATTAAAATTTTACCTTATGTTATTGATTCATTGGATATAGATGCTTCTACATATGTTAAACTTCATGTGGAAAGTGAATTGGCAAATACTTAGAAGCTAGAAAAAGCCTTGGTAGTTAAAATGTTTGGAAAGAACAATCCTTTCAATTTTATTTGTACTGAATTAAGAAGATAGTGGGCTCAGTTTGGTCAGTTTCATATAACTATTCTATGTCTTGATGGATCCTTTGTTGTTTTCAATCATTAGAAGCTATGGAATTTGTAATAACTGGTGGCCCTTGGTTCATTTATGCCCATATTATCGGAATTGATAAGTGGATCTCTAATTTTTCACCAGAATCCTGGAAAGGGAAGTCTTCTCCTATTTGGATTAGAATGGCTCATCTGCCTTTGCATTATTGGGATAAAATTAATGTCATCACAATAGCAGCAATGGTTGTTCCACTGATGATTGACAGTAACATGTTCCAGTAGGGCAGAAGAGAATATGCAAGAATTTATGTGCTGATTTAATTGGATAAACAACTTCTATAAGTCACTTGGGTTGAAGGTGCTTTAGGAAAGTTCTTTCAGAAATTTGAATATGAAAAATTATCTTCATTTTGCTTCAATTGTGGCATGATTGGGCATAAGGATGATGCTTTTTTGCCGAATGGTTCATAAGATTTAAAGTTGGTGCTGAAGTGGAACATGTTCAATGAGGAAATTCTATTTCTGGTTGTGATACTCAAGCAAAGGTTGATGAGAATTCTAAGTATTGTCCTTGGATCCACGTTAAAGTATAACAAGAATAATGTCAGGGGTCATTATTTAAACCTTTTAGGGGTAAAGTTAAGAAAAATCCTACTGCTGAAATGAAGTATAAAAGTCAGTTGATGGAAAAGTAAGGATAAACTATTGCAGAATTTTTGTTCGATATTTCCTAGGAAAATTAATGGTGAAGTTATTGTTGTGAAGACCAATTCTGAGAATGTTAATCTAATCAGATATGATGTGTTAATTAAAGTCTGAGGGAGCTTCAATCAGAATGGGTGGTGGATATTGTTGATGTGTTTATTGATGGTGCTTTGGAAAATTCCATTATTAACTTGGACAATCAGCCTCTGACTTATTTGAAGGAGAATTCTGGTATGAATATTAACCATGTTTCACCTTTAATTCCTATTACTAATAATAATTTTGATGCTCTAAATGGAATTATACATGAGTTAGAGGGTGTTGAGCCTCCGAAAAATAAATCTATTGTAATATCTAAACCCTCTCCTATTATTGTAAATAATTTTGTAGTAAGTTCTTAAGTTTATGTTTATGGTAGTATGGTGGTTTATAATCCTACAGTAAATTCTGAAATTGGTAAACAAAGATTGGGTAATGGCTTAAGGCTTCAGTGCATGTCAAATCCTTCCTCGAAACAGAGAAATTGATTTTCTACATAAAGGAAGGAGTGTTGATTTTTTTTTTCTTAATCATGTCGTCCATAGCATTTTAGATTTATATAGGGGCCAAAAAAAAGGATGATCCTCACAATTTAAAAGAATTTTTGAAGGAGTTTAATGTGTTTTTTTGTGGGATTAGTGGAAACAAACTTATCCTCTTTCAGTAGACTACAATGTACTAAATTCATTGGTGTGGATTGGGATTTCTATTTGTTTCCTTCGGATGGGTTGTCAGGAGGTTTTTTGGTTATATGGAGAACAAATATTGAGTTGTTTTTGTTGATTGAAGCAGATTCTCAATTTGTTATTTGTGAGGTTAATATTTTAAATAAAGGAAGTTGATTTATTACTTCTATTTGTGGGAGCCATGATATATATAATAGAGGGAATATTTGGAATAAACTTGATGTATATTATTTTAAAGATATTCTACTAATGTTGGGAGGTGGTTTCAATTGTTTAGTATATCAGGAGGATAAGAGGGGAGGAAAAAAGTTTATTTTTTCTTAAGGTCCTCAAGAAATGAAGTTGTTTATGGTTAATAATGATTATCATGATGTTGATTTTGTGGGTCGAAAGTTCACTTGGTGTAATAATAATGGAGGGGGAGCTTGTATTTTGGAGAGATTTGATAGATGCTTGTTAAAATTCATTGCTATTATTGAAGTTAAACATGCTCTAATGAGGAATTTCTCTAGAGGTTCTTCAGATCACTGTCTAATTGTGTTGGAGATTAAGCATTCTAATTTCCACCAGAGAAATATTATCAAATTTTGAGATGTATGGGCTTCTTTTCATGCTTCTATGGCGGTTATTATGAAATCTTTCAAGAAAAAAACTGTTGGTGATGATGATCAAATTATCAACTTTAAATTTAGAAGGTCTTTGAGAGCATTTTCTTTTTTGGGGTAGAGCTTAACTCAATGATCTTTGAAGTTGAAGGAATGTCTTAAAAAGGATATTTTACAATTGAAAATGGAAGAATCTTCATTTAATAGGCCATCTGAAGATAAATTATTCTAACTTAGAGCTAAAGTAAATGAATTGAATGCTATGTTAGCTCATCTGAAAATGTGGTGGAGACAAAGGGCTAAAGTGAATTGGATGGAGGAGGGAGAAACTAATTCCATGTTTTTCATGTGTTTGCTAGCTCGAAATGGAATGCAAATTGGATCAACCATATGATAGATTGCAATGTTAAAGTGGTTGAAAAGAAAGATTAGATTGAAGGAGTTCCTTTTTTAATTTCTTCATGGATAATTGGAGGAATAGATACGGTATTCTTCAGGGATGTCCTTCTCTATTAAATGTGCTTGATGATGATGATAGATCTTTATTAGAAGCTAAAATTTTTTAAGGAGGAACTAGTTCATGTGGTTAAGAATTTAGGAAAATTCAAATCACCAGGGAATGATGACATCACTTATTCTTTTCTTAAAGCTTACTAGAGCATTGTTGAGGAAGATGTTTGCAAGGTTATAAACAATTTTTCTCTTTTGGGAAAATTCACAAAGGTTGGAATTATATTCCTTGTTCTCAAAGCTCAAAATCCTTTGGTTCCTTCTAACTATAGGCCCATTAGTCTTTGTATAACTATATATAAGATTGTGGCTAAAATGTTATTGAACAGGATGTCAATTTTGCTTCCTAAGATCATAACTGAAGAGTAAGAGACTTTTGTTAAAGGTCGTTCTTTGTCAGATCATATTTTACTTCCTCAAGAATTGTTCCATAAATTCAAGTTTTCTAAATCTAAAAAAGGTTTTTATCTGCTAAAATTTATATGGAGCATGCGTACGATAGCATAGCTTAGTCAACCTAATATCATTTTATAAAAAAAAACTGATCTTATAATGGAATGTGTGATGAATTAAAGGTTCTATGCTATGGTTAATAGTTCTAATTCTAATTGGATTGAAGCAATGAGAGGATTTAGACAACGTTGTCCTTTTTATCACTATTTATTTATTTTGTTCTCTTAGTTTTCTTCAATTGTGTTAAATCAAAGAGGTGGTGGTCTTGGAATTAAAATTGCTTCTCATACACACAGGATCTCTCATTTGTTATATGGAGATGAAATTTTATTACTTTCTGAAGCCAAGATAAAAAGTGTTAAAATGGTAAAGGATATTATAAATGATTATTGTGGTTGGTGAGGGTAGAAGTTAAATTTGGATAAATCCATTGTTTTGTTTAGCAAAGAAGTTAAGAAGACGATGGAAAAAATATTTTTTGGGATGTTGTGACTCAACTATGTAAAGGAATTAAGTTATCTTGGTGTTAAGATTGCACTAAGAAGGCTTATCGTGGCAAATTTTCAAATTTTATTGGAGAAGATTTTGAAAAAAATGAGCATGTGGGGAAATAGATTTT